GCCGGCGGGACCGAGAGAAGGGCCTCCCCGGAAGATCTCAAGGCCCTCGTGGGCTCGTAGGCCGAGATGCGGTCTGCAAGGTATTTTGGGCCGGAACCGTTTAGGGCTTTGTAGGATAACACCAGCACCTTAAATTCTGTGACATGGATGGAGGACGACGAATAATGATTTTTGATGACGACTGACCACTGTAATTATATGATTGTATTTTGCTATTTTAATGTTTTAGTGTGATTTAGAATATGTGTTTTAATGACTGTCTGTAATATTGATGTTGGAAACCGGCCTGAGTCCCTCAAATAGAGGTGAGAAGACCAGTATACAAAACTGCTAATTAATTAATTAAATAAATAAATAAGGGACAGGGCGAGCATGCCTTTGTTCCAGGGGGCTCCGTGGGAAAGGCCCGCTGCTCTCCTCTGCTGGGTCTCCTTCCTGGAGGTTCCTTTCTTCATAGCCCCCCCCCCACAGGCCTGGACCCCACAAACTGGGCCAGAGCTCCTCCAGAGCCCCCACACTGTCACTGTCCACTGGCAGGCTGACCCTTGTCCCCTCTGGCCTTGCCCCACCCACAGCCCTTCCAGGGGGAAGTTGCAATGGCCCCCAGAGGGGACCTCAAGACAAGGTCCGGTCTCTCTCAGGACTCATAGAATCACAGAATCCTGGAGTTGGAATGGGCCCTAAGAGGTCATGCAGTCCCACTTCCTTCAGCCAGGCAGGAAGACACCATCCCAGCTCTCCCAACAGAGGGCAGTCCAACCTTGGCTTGGCCATCAGCCAGGAAGGCTTTGATCGGGTCTTCCTGCATAGCAAGAGCAGAATGGGAGTGGACTGGGTGGCTTTCGAGGTCTATTCCTGCCATTGACAGCAGAGGGACCATGGCATCATGTAAGCCGCCCCGAGTCCCCATTGGGGAGATGGTGGCGAGGTATAAATAAAGATTATTATTATTGTTATTATTATTATTATTATTATTATTGCTCTTCCTGCATGGCGGAAGTGGGTTGGACTGGATGGCCCAAGTGGTCTCCTTTCCTGCGCTAGGATTCGATAATGGATGTGTGGAAGAGGGGATTTCAGCAGTGGGTTCCTTGGCCAAGGAGCAGCATCTGACGAAACCCTCGTGGTCAGCCCTGCCCCGCTTTGGCCTCCATGGGACACAAGGGACTCCGGCATCTTCGGCAGCCTGTCTTGCCAAGGCAGAGAGGGCCTTTGACCCGCTTGAAGGCCAGCGGGTTGGTGTGCTTCTAACACTCAGTGGTAAGAAGGGTTTCTTGTCATCTCTTAAAATGTGTGTATGTCGTGCCTTAACAGTGTTCTCTTGTGCATTTCCCCAGGGCTTGCAGCAAGCAGAGAGGCAACAGGGAAAGGCTCTGAAACAGTAAGGTACTTTTCACTGGCACGCTGACAGAAAGGATGGTGGGCTTTGCAATAGACAGAATCTGATGGAGCATGGCCACACCTGGGGTCACGCAGGAGGCTCACCTGGGAAGCTCACAGGACAATGCAGGGGAGCCTTTCTGTCCACTGTGAAGGGGAAGCCTTTATCTGTTTTTTGTTGTTTCAAGGCATTGAGTGTTTGCCTTTGTATTTGGTGTGCTGGAATCTGCCTTGTTGGCGAGACAAGGCGGAATACAAAGGAAGTGTGAAAAAGATCTTGGAGTCCTCGTGGACAACAAGTTAAACATGAGCCAGGAATGTGATGTGGCG